CTGTTCTAGTTTGAAAGCCATAGGCTCAAGTCAGTAATCACCAATCTGCACTCTTATTCCTACAGTTATTCAGTAGTAAACCCTCCATTTTGTATTCTGACTCTGTGTAACCCCCGCTTCTCCAAGTCATCCAGATTGTAAAGGCCCTGATATGGGGTTGTGACTTGAGTTGACAACAAAAATGTTCCATGTAGCAGTTACCTCTCCATCCTGTGGGTTGTACTGCCCCAGTGTCACTCTAATCACAGTTTAATTATGTTTTCCCTAGCACTTTCCACTATGTGGTTGTTCTTGATGTATGCAATAGTCATTTATTTATTTTTTATGGTCTGTTTTCTTTGTTTAGTTGTAATATGGTTTTGAATATGTAGAGGAGGAAAGGCTGGCATCTTCACTTTGCTACCATCTTGCCAGAGTCCTTTGGAAATCATTATTTTTAGAGATTATATTCCTGATCAATAATTTAAAAGGCAAATTTCATATGTGTAGCGGCAGAAAAGTCACAGTGCAGGATCTCTATGATCAAACAGATGGGTGAAGGAGGAGAGAGTCCTGGAGCTCACAGTGGCTTTTTGCAGGCTTTTATTGGGAATCACCAGGTTCACAGCAGACTGGGGTACAGGCTGGCAGTCCTCCCAGCCCCCAGCATGTCTTCACTCTTTCTGGGCTCTCCAGCATTTTCTCGTGGCCTCTGCTTCTCTCTTCTCCCTGTTTGTTCTTCTGCTCCCGTTCGTTTTGTTGTTTCGCTCTCCTACTCTGCTGGCGTCCCCATGATGCCGCCCTGATAAGCCCAGTCTTACACCAGGTGTATACTATCTACACATGCCCACACCCTACTCCAGGTGCCCGCCATCAGGCATGCATTCAGGACCGCAAGTTTCCATCATCAATCCTAATGGCAGGAGGGCAGAAAAGCCTGATACTTTTTACCTCACCCTACAATATGTAACAATATATTTAAAGGTGTATGTCTCTATAAATGTTTTTTAATCATAGGATTAGCCTGTCTTTTTATTTAGAACAGAAAGTGTCTTTGCGAATAACGTTTGTAGAGTAAATGAATTAATCAGGCTTTTTATGCCACTAGCCTCTGTGTCTATCTGTGGCCTTGATAGTGTTAATGCAGAAGGAGCACCTGAGCCTAGATAGAGGTGGGGATACAAACAGCAGCAGTGGAAGAAGTGGGAAGATGAGCAGTGTGACTAGAGAAGAGGCGAGACCCAGAGACAACGCAAGAGAGAACCCCAGAGAAGTCCAAAGAAAGCTTAAAAGATTTCCTGGGACCTGGGAGGCTTGGTTGCCTGCCTGCATCCCAGCCTCCCCTGCCCACCTGGTTGCCCCTCGACAATGTTCAATTCTTGCATCTTATGGTTTGTGAAATTAAGTTTCAGAAAACATTTTATTAATTGTCACATAGCCATTTAGTGTTATGGTTGATACTAAAATCTAGAACCATCTTCCAGGCTAGTGATTTTCACTTGCTGTGGTTATGAATTGATTTGCAAATAAGACAATCACAAAGGGAAAAAAGTCTCACCCAATCCAAGTGAAAGGAGCACAGCTAAGACATAGTCTATGCAAGTTACTCTCTTTTGCCCTCTCTTTTTTTGTCAACAGTTTCCTTGGCAGGGCTCATAGTTACTATGTCCTGAAAATGCTGCTTTGCACATTTTGATTATGAACTGTGAATTTGAAACCAGAGACCCCCTCCTCCTTCAGGGCTTTGGTGCTTGGTCCCAGAGTACTTTTTGCGGGCACTGAAAGTGGCATGGGGTGGGGGGCATTTCACCACTTGCCACCAGTGGTACCATTGGCTACAAGCAGAGGCCAGCAGTGATGGCTAGTGGCAGTGGTTCCCCTACCACATGGTCATAGAGCATGTAGCCCCTGGTTCAGGGCTGCAGGGATGATCATGGGGCCCCACTGGGCCAGCTCCAATGCTGTGGCTACCTCCAGTTGTAGGCAATAGAGATCCATGGATTTAGTGCCTGGATTGTAGCACCAACTGATCAGGTGTGAACTTGATCTGATTGGGGAATGGTCCAATCAGCTATAAGATTGGAAATGGTCCAATCAGAGTTGTGGGAAGGGAATCCTGAAAGAGGATATAAGGCAGGGCAGGCGCCAGCTTGGGATGCTCCGGTTCTTCAAAGGGTGTGGTTTCTGGCCTCCAAGGTAAGATATTTGCTCTCTCTGTTACTGACCTCCAAAGAAGAGAGCAGCCAAAAGTTTCACAGAGGCCAGGCCAGCCACACTTGCTTCTGGCCTACCTCTGACACTTCCTGAAAGGAGCACCAAAAGTCCCCGGCCTGGTGTCTTGAAGAGCTGTTTGTTGGTGGTGTGGACCAACAACTCACGAAGAGCTGTTGACAAAGTGTTTCTGACACCGAGATCTCTTCGTGAATAGTGCTGCCCAGAACTGTTAATGAGTGACTGAAACTCTGTCAGGTCACCTTTTGAGAGCTGCTAATTGTCCAGCATTGCCTGTTGGTGCTGGTGCCTCCATTGCTCTGAGGTCCAGCTCTCCATCCCAACCAGCAGACTGTTGCTAAGGCATAATGGTGGGAAGGGACGGAGCAGGATATCTATGATTCGAGCAGACGAGGTAAAAGGAGAGAGTTCTGGAGCCCTCGGTGGCTTTTGCAAGCTTTTATTGGGATTTACCAGGTAGACAGCAGGGGTGATGGGGGTCAGGAGGCTGGCAGGCCTCCCAGCCCCCCGGCAAATATTCACTCTTTCTGGGCTCTCCAGTGTTCTTTCATGGCCTTTGTTTCTCTGCTGTTGTCTCTGTTTTGCTCTGCTGGTGTCCCTGTGTTGCCACCCTTGAAGCCCAGTCTCTCAGCTTAGGTGCACCCACCTACACATGCCCACACCCTACTCCAGGTGTCCGCCATCAGGCATGCATTCAGGACCACAGGATTCATCATTAATCCTAATGGCAGGAGGGCAGAAAAACCTAATACTTTACTTACCCTACATATGGGCTGCTGCCCTGTCATCTCAGCGGCCTATGAGTGTCTCCAACTGTGGTGAGTTGAATCCTAGCCCTCTGTTTGCTGGTGTGCCATGATTTCCCTGCGCCACCTTGGATGGGCAGCCTTTTGTTTGGGACTTTGGGAGATGGGAGACACTACCTGGGATGAGATAGCTGGCCATTTGTGGCTTTAAGAACTGTTTCTCCTGTGTAGTGCCATCAAGGCACAGAGCAGGTTCTCTATGGATCCAGGCAGATGGATAAAGGAGGAGTCCTGTAGCCCTCAGTGGCTTTCTCCAGTGTTTAGTGATCTTTCTACACCATTGGTAGTGAGACAACTAGGTGCAGGGAAGGCAGGGAGGCTGGGGGGTCAGAGACTGGGGTCCTTGTAGCCCCCAGCGAATACTTCACTCTTTCTGGGCTCTCTGGTATCCTCTACTGGTCTCTCCTCTGGTCTCTACTGCACCCCACCACACGGTCCTCTGCCACCATGCTCCCTGCTATCGTGCTCTCTTCCCTCCTCTCTGCCGCTGTGCCACATCCTCTGTGACGCTGCCCTTGTATGCTCTGTCTCTCAGCTCAGGTGTGCCCACTCACACACACCCACACCATACTCTAGGTGCAGCTATCAGGCACACATGTAAGACCAAAGGTGTCTATCATTGATGCTAATGGTGGGAGAGCGGAGAACTGATCACATCTGTTTACCCTACATCCTGTTTGTTAAATAAGCCCCATTGTTTTTAGGTGAACCTGAGTGATCTTGAAATTGCATGTGTGAGTGAAGAACGCACAGATAGTAGACTCGCCTCTATTGGCTGCTATCCTTTTTGAAGCCAGCCCCCTTAAAGATCTGTTTCAAATTGATTCTGAACAGAAAAACTATTTGCTTGTGGTACTTCATGTGAATTATGTAACAATACCCCTCCAGAGTGAAATAGTCTACTGAGTCAGTGCACCACACTAGCCACTGGTCATGGTCGGCCTCTCCATGAACTTAAAACATTCAGGTCTAAAACTCACCTCTCTGACCCATTTTTTGTGTCTCTTCCATGTTTTGCCTGACTTGTGTCAAATATTGCCTTATGACATATATATTCAGTAGAAAGATGCAAAGGAGGGCCTCCCCTGGTGGCACAGCGGTTGAGAGCTGGTCTGCAAAGCTGCAGGCAGCAACGGTTGGATCCCTGGCCACTGGAGGAGGGTCCCACATGGCTTGCAGACCTCTCCTGCCGCCCGCTGCTCCCCTCAGCAGTGTACTTCGGTCCTTCTGCCTGTTCTGCTCCCTGTTCTGGCTCTGGTGAATTCTCTCACCCTCCTGTGCTTCTGACTGTACCCAGTGTTTGAATAAATAAATACATCTTTTTAAAAAAAGTACGTTTTTTTAAAAAACTCAATATAAGCAGTAACTGGGATGTAAAGTGTAGATGTTAACTAGGGTCATGCAATGAGCAGCAACTGCTCATACACAACATGGCCTTTAACAAGGTCTCCATCTCCATTATTCCTTATTGTCACCTAATTTTCTTTCATCGAAAACAAAAAGAATAACAATATTGTGCCTCACATCAGGTAAGTCACACTAAGATAAATAGGGTCTCATCTTCCCACCCCAATTGACTCAGCAGTATAAAACTAAAACAACACGGGATGCTATTAAGCTCATCTGTGCTATCATGTTTACCTATTGTGATATTACTAAATAACAGGAATCTTTGCATTAAATAAGTCTATAATGATATAATCAAGGGGGATTTTCTAAATGTTTGGTGACAGACAAGATAGGAAGTAACCTTTCAGATGGAGGATCCTCACTCAGCTGTGCACATTGTTTAGGTTTATATCAGAGGTCTGGACCTCTTAGTGCAGAGAATAACTCGACTGGGCTTGATAGTGGGAAATATGAAGTGTCTGCTTATTTAAATGAAAAAAGAAATGAGAATCCTCTTAGTTGCTTTCATGAAATGACACTTTGAACTTTTCATGCATATGATAACATTTCTAATAATAATTTGTTCTCTTTCAGCTTTCCTTGTTGGAAAAGGCTGGATTTGGAGGTGTACTTTTATATATTGACCCTTGTGACTTACCAAAGACTGCAGATATTAGCCAAGAGACCTTCATGGTGTCATTGAATCCAGGAGGAGACCCTTCTACACCTGGTTATCCAAGTGCTGGTGAGTTCTTTTTTAATCTTTATTACTGTTGTAAGCATTACAATGTTGCAATTTATAAGTGCTTGCTACCTAAATTAATCAAGGAAGAGAAAAATGAAAGAATTATTTACCCTCCGTATTATAAAAATTCACTTTAATCTTCTCAATATTATAGACTATTCATTTTTTGGAATAAAGTCAACTGTAAAGTCAACTCATTTTTTTTAAAGTCAACTGTAAAGTCATCTCATTATCATTTGGTATATCATGAATAGAGAGAAATATTTTTGATTGACTGGCAAGATAAAACAATGTGGGGGGTGTGTTCCATGTTTTTATTTGTGCATGCTTCCCATATACAAGAATGAAGTGTTTGTGGCTTTGGGGTAGGTATAATAACTTTAAATTGAGCTTAAAGGGTCAAGTTAGGGGTATAAATTAGTGGGAAACTATGCTGGAAACAAACAGTGTTAATATGGTCATTATGTCTGGCTCTCTAAAAGAAGGGGTCCCATTATTTTGGCTAATCACTGGAAACATAGTGATTAGTTCACCTTTACTTCAGACATTCTTCTCTTACTGGTAAACTATGTTCACGATTTTGGGGTCATATGGAAGAAAGAGGACAACTGTGGTTTTGGCAGATGCTTGCTTCCTCATTGAATTTCTATGTACTGTATCACTGCAAATATTGTTCATGCAGAAAGAGCTGAGAAAAAACTTTAGATCTTATTCCTAGATGATACTAACCTCCTAACCAGGAAACTTAGTATTTAAGCTAAAAATAGTTTATGTAATTATCCATGTATTTTACCAGTATTTCCCAATTTTCCACAAAATATGAGGCTCTACTAATTATCTTATGCAAGATCAACTCTATATTAATTTATTTTCTCTCAATATTAATAAGCAATTAGTCTACAAGAAGGAAGAAAATTGAGTTAAATATGAGCTATAATTTATTTTGTTGGATATATCAATTAGTGCTTTGCCTTTAGTGAACTTTGTACAGTCGATTGTCTCATAATAATTTTGAAATTACAATCAATAGCTTTCTAGTTCACGTTCTAGGCATCACCAAAAATAGCGACCTGTCTTTACAGATCATTTGCACTCTTTTTTTTTTTTTTTTAAGATTTATTTTATTTATGCATACAAGGGCTGGGTTGCAGGCCAGAATTGTGGAGAACAGGGGTGAGAGGATTCACCAGAGACATAGTGGGGAACAGAACAGGTGGATTGACTGAAATACACTGCTGAGGGAAGTAGCAGGTGAGATGGGAGAGGTCTGCTGTGCCACATGGGTTAGCTCACTGGTGGGGTACCTCAGCTTCAGGGAATTGCACTGGCACCTCTCTTTTTGTGGAAAGTGAAGGGGCTTCAATGTTACTGAAAAGCATATACTTATGAATACTCTGCTTAAGTTAATAAGTTGGCCAGTTGGCAGCATTTATTCTCAACATTTTTTTGACTCAAGTCATGTCATAAATATAGAATCATTTCATATCCAGCAAAATGTTGGCCAAAGTCTTAAGCAATCTCAAAATGCCTTCATTTTTTTTTCATTTGAACTAATTTCACAGAAAAGTTACAAACATGTGTATAGAGACCTTTATCCCAAAATTTTCTAATATTAATAACTTACAAAATATAGTACAATGATCAAAGCCATAAAATTAGCATTGAAGTTATTAACTCATTAGAGAGATTATTAAAATTTCCTCAAATGCTTTCACTATATTTTGTTGTGATTTCAGCATCTACTCCAAAATTCCATATGTCATTTAGCTGCCTTGCATCCTCTCCAATCTGGAGCAATCTTCCTTTTATTATTTTGCACTTGAAGAATGCTCAGTGTATTTTATCGAATATACCTAAATTGAACTTGTCCAATATTTTCTAATGATCAGTTTATGGTTGCACATTTTTAGCAGAAACAAAGGAGAGATGCATCCTCAGTGCATAACATGAGGCACATATAGGTATGTCTCATTTCTCATGATGTAGCTTTGATCTCTTTGTTATAGAGGTGTCAGCCATTTTTTTTTACATTGAAAAGTTACTATTTCTTTTTTTTGTAACCAGTGCATTTTCTGCAGAGATATTATAATACTATGTAAATACCCTCTTTTATGTCATTCTTTTACATACGAATATTACCATCCATTGATGATTCTTGTCTCTTACAATTATGGCTGTGGTCTCTGGCAAATAATTTCAATTTCCACCATTACTTTGGCATACATTTTAGAGAACTTTTTTTTTTTTTTTTTAACAATATGAGTAGTTATCACTGACTACATTCTCATTCAAACATTCAAACAACAGTGAAATGACTCTAGAACCATTTTGGGTAAAATTATAACTCAGATTTATTTTCTGGTTACAATTAAAAAAAAAAAAACTACCATAGGAAAGTTAAAAGATAAACTTGGAAAAAAATGTATCTCATATTATGAACAAAGGGCTCCCTGATAATTCTCCTAAAAAATAACAACCCAGTAGAAAAATGAAGCCAGGACACACATTTCACACACAGGGTATATAATTGGCCTTCAACAAATTAAGAGGCTCAGTCTCAATTCTGGTAACATAAAGACAGGTTTTTAAAAATTGGAAAGGCCTCTTAGAGTTCTTTTGAAACTCTAAGTCAAATCTTTTTTTTTTTTTCTGAATTAAAATCTGCCAAATGCTGCCCGTCTATACAGGTGTTTGTGTTTTTTATTTACAGGAATCACGCTGTCTTGATCTCTTAGTGTATATGGCTTTTTCCTTCATCAAAATAAGTTCTGAGATTTCTAGTGAAAGTAAGGCATCTACTTATCATTCTTGTGCAAAAGAAAAATAAGTTTTGGGCAAAGAAAGAGGTAAAGGCAGAGTCAGCTGTGCCTGCTGTGAAGAGCTCTGTAATAAGCCCTTTTGAGAAGCTTCCCCTCATCCCTGGTACAACTCACAGAAGTCTAACCAAACACACATTTCCAAACATACAGTCTTTTATCTCCTAAATTCTTGCCTTTCTTACTTGTGACCTGCCTACAGAGATTAAGAGATGCTTGATGCCTATCTGCAATTTAACATATGCACTAGAACATTGGGTGTGGGGGATTTTGTTTCTGTTTTGTGCTAGTTGCAAATGTAATTTCCTGCTCTCTTTTTTCTTTGACAAAACCCAGACTACCTCATCATTTGATAAAATCAAACCTTAGAAGGGAAGCACCTTGCTGGTACAGCGTTCCCTAGTCTCTTCTAGATTCTGATTTTCACTTTATCTAATAATCACTTCCATCTTTGAGGCTTTCATTCCAGTTAACTAGCACCTGCTTCTAGCCCTCAGTATTTCATTCTGTAATGAAAATACAACTGATTTATCCAAGAGGTTGTTTCTAGTTGTTCACTAATATGCACTAACCTGGCAAAGTCACACCAGCCTTTCATGAGTGTCCTAGGAGAACACAAGTCTGGAAGTGGTTTCACAGTAGCATGGACATAGTGTAACATTTTCTGGAGATCCTAACTCTGATCTAGCAGGCAATGATAGCAAAGCCCTTTTCACAAACTCCATCCTTAATGCAGAAATCTGCCTGTAGGTAAAGTCAGCCTTTTCACCCCCACTAAAGACCAAGAAGCCAGATAGAGATTTAAGAATATGCAAAGGTAGGGCCTCCCTGGTGGCGCAGGGGTTGAGCACTGGGTTGCGAAGCTGCCCGCAGCCTCTGCGGCACCGGATCGATCCCCAGCTGCTCCCAGGCCACTGGAGGAGGATCACGCATGGCGTGCAGACCTCTCCTGCCACCTGCTGCTCCCCTCAGCAGTGTACTTCGGTCCTTCTGCCTGCTCTGCTCCCCGCTCTGGCTCTGGTGAATTCTCTCACCCTCCCGCACTTCTGACTGTACCCAGTGCTTGTATAAATAAATCTTTTTTAAAAAATCAGATTGTTATTTAATAAAAAAAAAATATGCAAAGGTAATCAGCCTTAACATCTCTTTAGGGCAGCCTCTTGAATGATGAGATTAACTAATGCCTGCATGCCTTCCTCTCCCATCAGCATATGTTTAGGTCAGGACAATTCCCCTTCAAGTCAATGACTCTGATCCTGCCTACATATACTAAATTCAAATTTATGTTATCTGGAATAGTTTTCACAGAGTAAAATCTCTGGGACTGCTTCAGGGTTTGAATCCTCACTTTGATTAACAAATAAACTCTAGATTATATATCATTGAGAATTAGCTTTCAGTTAACCTAGTGACATTTAACATCACAAAGTTTTTGCCTCTTCAAGCTTTCATACCGAACAAAGTTGAAACCATGCAGACTAGAAACACTTTAAGGTGGTGGTGGTGTTGGGCTGGGACATGAGGAGTTAACTGGGGTCCAGGCAGGAGTAGTTGGCAAAGGAAAAGACCTGAAATAAGTGGGCAAAGGAAGAATAAATAGTTGTGCTACTGCCCTTTCTCTAGGGTCGCAGATTAGTAGTCCCAGGCTTCAGCTGCTTTAGTTTATCTTGGCGCCCTGGAGAGCTAGCTTCACCCCAGTCCATGCTGAAATGTAGGTAGCCATATCTGCTGCATGCTGCAGGCTTTTCTGGAAGTTGGCTTGGGCCTGCCACAGATAGTGAAGAACCAGGATTCCAAACCAGGTTAGAGGATCATGAGTGATCACAGTGTTCTCTAGCTCCCAGACCCTGGTGAGACCCTTGTGTCCATGCAAAGTTGCCTCAGGATACATCATCTTTTGTGGAGTTAGGGCAACAGCCTTCCCCATCCAGACCTTTTGGAGTCTGTCCTGGGCTCTCAAGTAGAGATTGAGACCTGGGACACTCTGTGGAGGCATAATGCGGGGGAGGGGGGGTGCCCTACCAAGTTGGTATCTACAGCTTAACAAAGTTGGGAGAGCAAGAACCAGCCCTCTTCCACCCAAGAGTTCAGCATCACTTGCTTTGCCTTCATTTCTTCCATATCACCAGGCTTCTACAGAAACACGGATTGAAATTCTGCATACAGGCTGGGTACCACTATGACCTGACCACCTATAAGTTTTCTCTGATAGAATGACAACATATCAGTGCAATAAATGATGTTATATTTTGTGTCTGATTATATACTTACATAGAATGGGAATGATACTGATGTCGTTTTTGGAGTCAGTGGGTTTGGAGTGCGGAGTCCTTCTTAGGTTCACTCGGGAAAGGTTTCTCCAGAGCTCCCCTTTCAGGGACACCAGCAAGTTTCTCCACAAGACAGAGATGGTGTTTATATTCAAAGGGCAGGTTTATTAGGGGAGTGATAAAACAGTTAAAGACACTTGCAGAGACACAAGCGGGCAAAAAGAGCTTCCCCAGAAGGACAGGTTTGCTGAGAGGCCTGCATGGTCGCAGGCGGGCAGCCTTGAGGAAAGCTGCCTCTGCCGAGGGAAGTCAGTGAAGAGAAATCCTGGCATGGTACAGTCTTTTTCTTTTTGGGAGGGGCTCACTCCTTGTGAGCCTTCAGTTAGTTGCTGACTTTAGATAACCATGCAGAATCTGAAAGGGATCATAGATTCTACAGTGGGCTCAATCTCCATATCTTTACCTTTGGGCCTGTGCTCTAGACACTCCCTACAGCAGTATGATACCTGCTTGGATTTTATTCTTTGTAATCTAGGCATTGGGCCTGAGGATCTTGGTTTCTAAAGCTGGGTCAGCTATTTGCTGTCCCTGTGTCAGGACTGAGCAATGATGGAATATCATGTGTTCTGGATACTCAACCTGATTTTATTCTCAATAAAATCTTACTAAATATTTGATATATATTGAATAAATTGCTTTCTTAGCATGACTGCTTGAACTTTGATAAATTGTGAACTATACCCTGATTTTACTTACCCTAATTAATACTGTTAGGGGAAAGTGATGTCCTGAGTTAATCCCATACAGTGTTTATACATTCACATATTTTTTCCTTAAATGTTTCTGCTAACTCATATCACTTCTACCACTCAAAATAGCATACATTTCATTGACTTAAAAGTTTTTGAAATTATATTTACAGTAGTGGAATGATAGAAGTTGAATCTATTACCTAAATTATTTCCATTTTAATTAAATATTTCAGAGATTAAATGTCTAAATTAACGAAGACTTTGTCATAGCTGTTTGCATTAACTTGCTACAAGTGTTTCAACTACATTTCACTATGTTTCAAGCAAACTTCATTCTCTAGAACTAAGTAATTTTGAATTCTAAGAGTCTTTAGGTTTCATATAGGATATTCTGCCTTCAATCATGAACCACAAGAAACTTGACCATGCCTACCAATGATTCAGGTGCATGGGGCTTAAGAACTAGTTATAATATGGGGCATAACTAGTTATAATATGTGACCAATTATAATCAAAGATATGATTGACCTAAAATCATTAATTTGGCTCCATTTGGCAATATAAGGGGAGAATCAAAATGCTGTGGGGTGAGCATAAAAATAGGGAATTGAGAAATGGATATCTTTAATGTAGATCCCATTGGTTCTATGATGAAATGTGGAAAATTCTTTCCGAATTTTTAGACATTAAAATTGCCTGACATGTGAAATTTTTGTAGATTTTAATTTTGATATTTCTAGATTACTACTGGACTAATCTATGGACTGCTAGTTAATTGAAGCCCAAGATATTTCTTTTATCTGGATTCATCATTATTCTTCTTAAACCTTATTCCCACTCTGGTTTAAAGTTAATTGTTTATGTTCCTTCCCTCTTTATTTGTTATAATCCTGTTTCATCTTATTTTTTTTTTCTTTGTCTTAAATTCTGGTGAGGGAAATCATTTCAGTGGTTTTACTCCAGTGAAGTGTATCAAACAACACAGTTTATTTAATATTCCCAGTGTTACAATTCAGTGGATCTGTGTGTTGTTTACCTACTGTCTGTTCAACAGAACCACTGCCAACCAAAACCATTCAAAGAAGAAAGAATATCATTGCAATTTGTGACAAGTCTTCACCAGGTGTTCGTGGTCCAGTTACCTGGACAAATGTCGAAAGACTGACTTGACTTGGCACCAAATCAACTGAGACAATGTTCAGCTATTCCATGACTAGAAAAGCAGAAAATATAAACGTGTGCCTAGTTGTCAAGGCAAAGTGTTAGGTATTCACAGCATGAAATGCCTTGTCACTTGGATGGGAGAAAAGAAAAAGCATCTGTATTCTATTTTGTGGTACTGATGGTTGTTATATGTGTCTAGAAGGCTTCAGCTTTACATGGAATATTATTCAACTTAATTCTTAGAAGCATATCCTTGTTAAGATGTTTGAATTTTTCCAGAAAGTTTAATTTACACATTGAATAGAATGTTCAAAATTGAACCACTCCTTTCAAAAATGTATGCTTTTGTTTTGTTTTCCAATTGTATTATTCTTTATTGAGGTAATATTTGCTTAAAATACTATTTTTGATTTGTGACTCCCTGGTAACACAGGTGGTTGAGCACTGCACTGTGAAGCTGTCCCCAGCTCTGCAGCCTGAGTTCGATCCCAGCTTACTGGGGAAGAAACCCACACAGTGAAGCAGACCTCTCCTGTCTTGCCAGCTGCTCCCTTCAGCAGTGTATTTCACTCAGTCTGCCTGTGCTGCTCCCCGCTTTCTCTGGTGAATCCTCTCACCCTCCCGCGGTACAGGCCAGAGGTGCGGGAGGGTGAGGGGATTCACCAGACAGAGTGGGGAGCAGCACAGGCAGACAGACCGAAATACACTGCTGAGGGGAGCAGCTGGCGAGACAGGAGAGGTCTGCCACACCATGTGGGTTTCTCCCTGGCTGGTCGGGGATGGAACTCGTGCTGCAAAGACTCCATACAGCTTCACAGCATAGCACTCAACCCGCTGTGCCACCGGGGAAGGCCCAATACATAAATCTTAAAAAAAAAAAAAAAAAAATACTACTTTTGATTTAAGGGTGCAGGCTCAACCCTCTTCAGATGTTTGTTACCAAATCTTATGTACCACAAAAGTGAACACATTCCTCAAATATAAACCATAGGATTCTCTCCCAACTTTGCTCTCCCACCTTTACTCTACAGCTACCTCATCAGGTAGCCTCTTCTGTATTCAGATTTCTAGGGTTTCTTTTGGTTCAGTTTTGTCTGCCTTTGCTTGTTTATTTATATTCCACATATGAGTGAAATCAAATGTATTTGTCTTTTTCCTTCTGACTTACTTCACTTAGGATAATTCTCTTTTGTTCCAGCTATGTAATTGTAAATGACAAAATTTCATTTTGTATCATAGTCGAGTAGTATTCCATTGCAAAGACATACCACATCTTCATCTAATATTGGCCAGTTTAGTTACTGCCATAATTTGACTATTCTAAGTAGTATTGCAATGAACATAAGATTACATGCATACGGTAGCAGGAAAATTTACTATTGATAAACTTAAATTCTCTTACACAAAATATTAGTAGAACTAATGTCATATGTAATCTTATAAAATCAATATAATCTGTTCATACATCTGCAATCAAATGATTAAGGCCATGTAAAAATAATAAAAGCTCTTTTTCTGAAAGCTATTTATCTTGAAGACTGAATTTTCCAGACAGATTTCTCATGGCCTTATATATTAAGCCTCAATGTTTTAAGAACTTGATTTCCAAATCTTCAATTACAAATATCCAGCTGAAAAGCACCTATGGTTGAAAACTTTCAGAACTAGGAAATTATTTGCTGATCCTCAAATTATTATTTTCTAGATAGTGGCAGAAAGCAAACATTCTTCATCCATCCACTTCCCCTCCATGAGAATCAATTTTTCAGTCAGATTTCTAGGATTTGTTACTTGTTTTGTTTTGTCTTGCCCTTTGTTTCATTTTTCTTGTAATTATCTTTCTCACTTGTTATAAACCAATATTTATGTATGGTTCTTTCTTGGAGCCAAGGACATATGTTCAAAATACTGTGATCAAAATTTATTTAATTAGCTATTTCCCCACCCTTTATTGCAGTTGTTATTTACTTAAAATATATTTATGTTCATTTGTTTCTAGTATATTACATTTTAATATTTTTTCTGTTCTTAAGACATCTTTTAGTAAAAATATAGTGTAGTTCCAAAAATCAAAATTATTCAAAAAGGAATACTCAGAGAATTTCTACTAAATATCCTACCCACCTCAATTCTTCCATTTCAGTTCATCTGGTCCCTATTTATCTTTTATTTTCCTTTTTCTTTTTGCATAAAAAATAGATAAATGCTTACTTCCTACTTCAATTTTACATAGTATGTATCATACTACAGATATTAATTTGTACATAGTTGTGGTTTTTTCTCCTATTGAACAGTTATTTCAAAATTTTCTCTATATCAGCTGCTGGAGATTGTTGACACTTAGTTGTAGAAATAGATCAGTTGCAGAATGTTTCTGGAGATCAACGCCTGTGGAAAAGAGAAGCCATGAGTAGGATTGGGCAAAAGGAAAATTGGAACTGAAGCCCAATTTCAACCACCTGTAAATATATAGTTGATTACAATGACAATTATTGGACCAAAGTGCCAGATCTTTGCACTTCTTCTGAAATCAGTCTTTAGATGTGTACTTGCCAAAAAGGGCGTTCTAGGGTGAAGAGTTTCTGCTGATAGCACTCACATGAGCACTTTAACAATTGCTCCCTGGGTGGAATGGGACCTCTGCATGGGACGTTAATGTGCCCACTAGAGAAATTTGGATTTAACTCCATTGTTGTTAGTGAATTAGAAGGGTTAGAGTTGTGCTAACATGGTGACCACTAGCCATATGAGACTATTTAATTTAAATTTAACTAATTAAAAATAAATTAAAAAAATTGTCATACTAGCCACAGTTCAGGTATACAATAGCCACCAGTGGCTATTAAAGGCATTTCCTTTATTAAAGTTCAATTTAATGACTGCCGTAGAGCTAATGTCTATAGCAGTGTGATATAATGCAAAATTTGATAATTATCTACTGTTTTCGATCATCCATGAGACTCTTTCTGTATATAACCTTGGAGAATAGAAGATTGTTAGTCTTTTTGCCGCTTGAATTATTTAAATTCTATTTACAAATAAGGCTCTAAGAACCACATGTTGGTATGCTTCATGAATTCTTTTATGGTTTAGTGTTGAACCAAAACATAGTTGAGTGCTCCTAAAGTAAACATTTTCAATTTCCAGAATTCTCCAAAGAGTTTTTGTATTTTAAGTATGTAAAAATAAATCTTGTAATGCTACTTTAAAGTGTTATTGCATTTGCCTCAAACTGCTGGCATTGTAAATCTCAGGCTCATACAATTTCATTTCAGAAATTCATCCTGGAAGAAAAAAATGTGTTCTGTTTTTGTTTGCTTATCAACAGCTTCTCAGTCCTAAATTTTTCAGTGAGAATGGAAAAAAATTAAATCTTTGGAATATAATTTTTTTGAGAAATAACCATCTCAATGTTAGGCTTTTGAGGAATATGACAAACATTGACTATCTTTAAACATTGAAAGCCAGTCTTTGGTACCTCTTTTGCATGTAAAGTTTTATGTAGTCTAGTGAAAACAGGTCAGGTAGTAAACTTTCTTTCCTTGACATCTGAGAAACATGAAGTGACAATGACTAAATTTACAAACTATGTGACTTACGCATATTCATGCCAAATGACTTGAATATTCTCAGGACTTTCTATTAGTTGGGAGTTCCCACCTTTCCCATTATCCTCCAGTCATTTGACTTGATATCATGTAGGAGATGATATTCCATAAAATTTTTAAGGACATGGAGACTTTGGTTAAGCTACACAGACTGCTTTACTTAACTTTAAACCTATTATTGTAATGTGGTTTTCAAAGTTCAAAAAACAATGCAGTCTATACATGTGCCACATATATATGCCTCTCTATAGAAATGTATTGTTTGCACCTCACCTTTTGTATGTTTGTAGCTTAAGATGTGATGTGAAAAGTAGAAAAGGACAGGGCTGATTAGGTCACCTGGTGATGGCAATGTTAACACCTGCAGATGTACCTGTTTATGAGTCAGCAGGAAACAAAATACCCAGCAACAAAAACTAATCTGGTTGATTGTTTAACAATTAAAGTTGTAATTAGATTTTTAATTGAATTTTTGGTATAGTCTAGAGTCTGGAAAATCAGTGTATCCCAACTAATCTTTTACTCAGCGTGATCTGTTACGGTTCATTGCTAGCCATGTTAAAAAATCTGTTTTTTTTTTAAAACACAAATTTGAACAAACCTCTTCTCTAAATTTGAATCAGTCTTCTCTAGCCAGTCCCTCAGGTGATTTTTCCCATTTCAGTGACGGACTAAAAAATGCATTGTTATCCTGGGAAAGATGATAAAAGTGACAGTTTTTAAGATAATACAGATATGCACATTTTTAAGGAATAGGCCAAAAAGATAATGTGCTTTTGGCAATTATTTCTAGAATATATCTCATTGAAATGTTCACCTGCTTCACAAACCAAACACTTAAATTGTTGCTATGGTATCACTTTGAAAGTCTGTCCTTTCAATACTCCAAGAAGGTTTTAGAATCCTTGATGAATATTAAACTGAGTTAGCCCAGGCTAGTTTACTTCAGTAACCTTATGTAGAATGATGACTGGTATTTTGGCACGGGGTATTGGTACTTCAGGAAAAACTTGACAAAAGTGGGGAGTTTTCTTTAGACTTAGGGCAACTATATATAATGCACAGACCAACCAGTAAAGGGCCTTGTTATGAATAGTCATGTAAGATAATAGTTTATGGGACAATATCATAATTCTATTTATGTTGAAACTAAGATTTCCTGATAGATTTGGCCATAGAAATTATGATGTTCAATTAAGACTTGTTATGAACTTAATTGTGGCCTTCCCATCCATATTCTTTTGTTGAAGCATTAACTCCCAGTATCTCAAATTGTATTTGAAAGTAGTTTGTTTAAAAATGTAAATAAGTTAAAATGAGGGCATTAGGGTGGATCCAAATCTTACAGGACTGGTGTACTTCTCAGAAGAGAAAATTAGGACACAGATCAGTGGGAAGCCAATGAGAACATACGGGCATTAGAAGGCCATCTACAAGTCAAGAAGGAAAAGATCTCAGAGAACCAATTGCAGACATACTGTTCTTAAATTTCTAGTCTCCAGAACTATGAGTATATATATTTCTGTTCAATCACCCAGTCTTTGGTACTTTGCTATAGTAGCCCTAGCTAACTAATTCAAGAGGAAATTATAAAAAACAAGTCCTTTGCATTTATTATGATAAAAACTAGAGAAAAAAATGCACGTAAGTCTATTCTCACTATAAGGAAGGAAAATGAAAAGTACTGAGTGAAACAACTATTATGGTAGCTCATTAGTCTCTGTTCCCATTAGGGCAAAGTGATTTTTATTTATTTATTTTTGCTTATGGTTTGATAATGCTATCACTTGGACTAGTTACTATAATCAGAAAGAGTCTAGTACACCTGCCCTGGTATCACCTCTGATGAGAGAAGGGTATAGAAAAATGCCCAAAAAATTAATCTTGGTCCTTCATAGAAGAAATGGAACTTTCAAAGCTTCTGCACTAGTAAAGCATATAAATGAGATTTTTAGAATCGCAAAGCTATGTGAGGATTGTGATCCTATGGTGGAAACTAGAGAGAGAAGGGAGATTCTTAATAAAAGTAAAAAATGAAGTGTTCAGTGAAATCCAACAGAGAAGGACATGATTTGAACAAAAGTCCCTTGATGGGAGCAATCTATCAATTTTTAGGTATAGTGGCAGTTAATACTCAATATTAGGCTGTTGCCTTTTGTGTATGTGATCCCAAACCTTCAAAAGCCTGCTCAAGACAATGTTCTCTGTTAAGGAGTCACTTAGGGAACATACAGGGAAAGGATAACAGTTACAGAAAGTAATACCATTGTATAGGAATTGGGGGAAACAGGGATTGGGGTACTGCAGCAGGATCCTTGTCGCCTGAGAAAAATGTAACAGAGCCCTAGTTTTATGGCAATAGAGGTTCTGTGCAGTTCATCAATTTAGGAGAGGTAGAAGAAGCAAAAATAAACCAAAAAATCCATATGAACAAAAACAGCATGAATTTCTGGAATTGGTATGAAGCATTTCAGATTCCAGGCAAATCCTGTCTCACTAATTTGTAAATAGGAGCACAGGACTTCCTCGTGTTCCTGTTCCCCTTCAGTATTGGTCCTGCACCTGCTCTGGGTTGAGCCTCAAGGCCACTCACTGTCAACAGGTGTGGAGGGAGGCACGTTTCAAGGAAGTGAATGAGGCATTGCCTCAGCTGTGCAGAATGCTGCAAAAAAAGGTAAAGCAGCAGAGTATCCGCATTGGTGGTGTACAGAGTTGAAGCGTGGTAGTTAGAAACTGGGCAGGATGAGTTTAAAGGCGTCATCGAAACACAGTCCCAAGAACAGCCTGCGGCAATACAGGGAAACCCAACAAGTGCTGAAAAACTTGCAGGGCTGGCAAGCAGTCCAGTGCCATTTATTTTAGTGGATTTCAGGAAGGTACAGTTAAATCTCAGTCAATGCTACAGATCATGGCAGTCACATCACCATGATGACAATCACTCATTAAAAGATAGCCTGTGTGAAATGAGGAGGTTGGACTGGGTGATCCACTTTAGGTGTCTTCCAGCACTGAATTTTAAGGTTTAGTTGCCTGAATTTAGTGTGCATGTGTCAAAGGCCCTATTTTGTTTATTTTTCCCCTCCATTTTTTTTTTTTTTAAGATTTAAAAGCACCGTTCTGAAGGTTGCATTTTCAATGTTTTGGTCTTTTGATGCACAAAATTATTTAATTTTGATGAAATCCAATTTATCCCCTCATCTATTTGCTTGTGCATTAGTGATATATCTAATAAACTATTGCTTAATCCAATATCATAAAGATTTACAACGATATTTACAAGAGTTTGATAGTTTCATCTCTCACATTTAGATCTTTAGTGATTTTGAGTTAATTTTTGGACATGGTGTTATGTAGGGGTTCAACTTTGTTGTTTTATGTGTGATTCTCTACTTGTATCTACATTTTGTTGAAAAGAAAATTCTTTACCCATGGGATGTTTTGATAATCTTGTTGGAAATCAACCATGAATAGAATATGGATTTATTTTTGTATTCTCAAGTGCATTCTTACTGGTCTATATGAATCTCCTTATGTCAGTACCATACTGTCTTGATTAGGCTAACTTTGTAGAGGCTTTTTTCAGTTTGTGGGAAATAACAGTACCTCAGCTTTGTCCTTCTTGTTCTGACTATTCTGTATGCCTTTCATTTATATATGAAGCTTCAAAAATAATTGAAAGATGAATGGAAGATGACCACACAGACAGATCAAATTTCTTGGATGAAATACTTCTGGGATGAGAAATGTCAGAAACTGAAAGGAATATAGCTGAAGTTTTAGGATAAAAAACATCTGCAGATAAAGAATTGAATACTCACGGGCACTGAGACAAAGAGAAGCAGGTTCTTTGTGATTACATGAGACTGAAACAGAAGCAGGAAGTTATATGTGTTGAGGAGGGGATTATAGGTGAGTTCAGACCACAAAGTATTTGATCTTTTAGATGGTATTTTATCCTGTCGGCAGGGAGAAGTCACTGAGGCTTATGGCAAACCTTCTTTATTGTTTTAGTGTTAAGGTCGATACTTTGCCCTGATATTTGAGAAATAGTAGCATTCTTTTCAGATACCATTCTCTTCAGATCGCTATATCTCTTGATCAATCAATTTATCAATCTATTTACCTACCGACCTATCACCTGTCATCAATTTAAGCTAATCTCACACTCTCAAAATAAATATTTCTGCTCTTAAGAATAAATCAGAGAGTACTCTGGATATTTTATAGTTAATTCCCCAAAATAGAAAGTCACCCCAAAATGTAATAGCAATCCTCGCTTCCAAATTTTGCATATTGACAAAGGTAAAAAAAAAAATAACAATGAATGAAAAGAAACATCTTCCCCATTTTGCTTCTTTCTATCTTCAAATTCTCTTTTTTTTATTTGCATTGTGTTTTGGTGTTTAACCAAAACTGTTCTTTCCTCAGGTATATTTTTCATCATGGTTGAGGGTTGATCAGCCAGGGTGCGTGAAGCTGTGCCTAATATTTTACACTTGACCTTAGTCAAAAGGCTGAGAAGTGATGTGTACCTTATGTCTTAATCCCTATGGAAAAGCCCAATCCAATTTGGTACCTATCAGTTACAATTGTGTCTTTAGTGCAGTGAAATTCATTACACTATATTAAATTCCGCAGATTAAACAACAGATTTATAATTTTAACTCCACATTTTCTGTAACATACGTGAAAAACTCTGAGTAGTAAAATTGTTGAAGTTGAAGCAGAACGTAAATAGCAACCAGTATTCATTCACTCAGTTTTCTTTTGCCAAATAACTTTACAATCAATAAATTCCAAGCATTATATGGAATTTTTCTGTTTTGCAAATAAAAAAAATGAGGTTGAATGAATTAGAACATTGCTTTCTCCAACTCCAACATATTTTTATATTAATTTTCTTAACAAATTTTAGATAATTATTAAAATGCTGTGCTATAAATTATAATAGCTTAAGTATCATTATGTTCCAATTTGACAGTCAAAAATTTAAATTATGAAAATTAAGCAAGATAACTAAAATAGAACTTTTTATAATCTAAGTTTTCATGGTGCTATCTATTTAATTCTCTGAAACCCCTGGTAATAATGTGTCTTGTGTGAGTCTTTTAAATGTATGCCAAGGACAGTGTGATTTGGTTGTGTTTTTCTTCCTGCCTGGTAATCAAACTAGAAAAGTTAGAGTGGGGAAAACTGATAAAGATGAACAGACAGTGAAAAAAGCCAGGCTATGCAGGGCAATTTAAAATATAAAGTTTCTGTTTAAAAGTATTAAAAGTGAAAGAGGACAGTAGAAGGGCAGGAAAGAGATAGAATAACAAGTTGGATGAGAAGATATAATAAATGGAAACACTATTAGAGTGACCTACATTTTCTTCTGTAAAAGGCAAAGAAAAGACAGTTAAATCAGTTTTGGTTAAAAAAAAATGCTTCCTCCTTCTGTGCTGCGAGATTTTGGAGCTTATCTAAATTCTAAAATAACTCCATTTCTGTTTCATAAAGCCAAATCTGCAAAAACACCAGCATAATGCTGACAAAATAGCTGTTATTTGCTCTGCCAGGATCATTCATGATCATGAACTGCATTTATAAAATCCAGAAGGGTCCTTCTAGTACTGAAGAAAATGGTTAATGTGTGTTGGTATCCAGATAGTTTCCATTGTATTTGGCAGTTACTTTACCAGGTGCATAAAAATAACTCCATTTGACAATACTTCCTTAAGTTTAATCAGTTACACCATTGTGGCATGACTGGTATTCAACAGTGGAAAGGGTTGCAAGCCATGCCCAATACATATCATACAATATCATGTCAATTAGTCATGTATGTTTATTCTGCTCAAAGCAAACCCATGGATGTGGGTTATAAGAAACCTGTCTTGGGCCTCCCTGATGTCCTAGGGATTAAGTCTCAGCACTATCATCACTAAGGCCTGAATTTGATCACCAATCAGGGAGTTAACCCACATGACTCAGCAGACCTCTCCTGTCTCAGCTGCTGCTCCCCTCAGCAATGTGTTTCAGTTGATCTGCCTGTTCTGCTCCCCACTCTGTCTCCAGTGAATCCTTTCAACTGCCCCCCTCCCTGCACCTCTAGCCTACACCCCAGTTCTTCTACACATATACACAAAAGAACTCTATATTTTGCCTGAATTTAATCACCACATTATACAGCCAAAGTAAACTAGTTATTCATATATCATTGTCACTATTTTGCAAAATCCAATACTGAAATTCAGTTATATTCAATAATTTTCCAAAAGTACTAGTATTTCAGACATTCTGTTCTTCTAGTATTATTCTGAATCTTAATTAATATGGTAGTTACGTAAAGCCATAGACAGCTCTTAGAAAGTGCTCAGTGAACACTGTATAGCTGCTGTATATTCTTTTTGGGATCCTTTTCTCTCCCAGTACTCTCCCAATCATATTGAACCCAGGATATGAATTATCAAATGCCTCTTCTTGGAGATCAGGCTTATGCTGTGACAGAAGTTATTTTCAACAGAAAAGGAACTTTCTGGGTTAAGGTGAAGAAATCAAGATAGTGAACATGACAGCAATTTCTAGAAATATATTGGTCTCTTGGATTCTATAAAAAAACAAAACAAAACAAAACAACAAAACAAAACCCAGCAGCCATCACTCACACATGGTGATTATAGGCATTGTGCTGTATTTGGCAAAAAGATGTTCTACTGTGGCATTGAGAATTCTCCCTTAGCATTTACACAGCACGGATTGGAACCCAAGGGAGATGTGGAATGTGAGAGTTTCAAATCTGTTGACCTGGCACAGGATACCATGTGAACCTAAAATCCCATAAAAGAGAATCTTAGATGGACAATCTGTAGTATGCAGCTGAGTACAAAAATAAAATATTTTTTTTGTATCGCATTGTAACATTGTATGTTTCAGGTAAGCATAATTATAAGAATTAGAAAATGTACACTACTAGAGAAGAAATCAATTAAATGAAATCTAATTTTTGGAGTAGAGTGGGGAAGAATTTATATAAATTTTTGGCATCCACAGACTTCTGTAATAACTACCTATAGAATATGTAATAATCAGAAAACATGAAGGAAATTGCCTTTGGGCTTGCAAAATTCTTGAAGACCCCCAACATGATCTACATGTGGATACTGCATCCACTTTCCCAGAGGACAATAAAAAGTCTCTCATTGGATCAGATACCCACTTTTAAACTTTGTTTTCCCTAAAATACCACAAAGGATATATATCAAGATTTCCTTACTTGCCTATTTTGTCCTTCCAGCTATCCAGAAACAAGACAATGTGTATGTGTATATCAGTTGCAGGAACCTAAAAAAAAAAAAAAATGAGAAATGAGCTGTCCTTTTTTTTGCACATTTGTGCACCATGCACATCTTTTTCTTACTGCAGAGATGTCATGGTATTACATTTTTCTGTATATATAGATAAAATATAATCATTATAAAACCTCAAAAATTATATAAAATTAAGGTCTTCTGAAAATTCATCACACTGAGATAAATTCCAATGATAGTTTAATCACTGTTTTTAATGCAACTTTACACATTAACTTATATCTGCATGTAGGTGTTTGTATACACAAATATATGCATATGTGTTATTTTACATTTAGGTTAAATGTAAAGAGACACTTATGATGTGTCTCTTCTGCACATCTACCCCAGTGTCAGTACCCTAAAACTCCTCATTTCAATCAAAGCACATAGTTTTACAATAGATGCCTAGTGAAAATTAAGCCACATTCAACCACTTTAGTGAAGTCAACATATACCAGATATATGTAAATGAGTAAAAATGTCTACCAAGATAACTCAATGACTCTATGGAAAAATGAAAAAAGAGAACAGCCATTTTCAGGTCTTGTGTACTATGGCTAAAATCATACACTATTAGATTCACCAAGACACTATTCCAATGATCTTGTTTCACAGATGAAGAAAATGAGGTTCAGAGGTTTAAACGATTTGCTCAAGTTAAATAGCTTGTTAAAAGCACAATGTGCAATATCCTTATTTGAATCCATACAAGAAACTAGAAATGCTTTAAGAGTAGAACAAACACCTTGCAAAACTGTCTAAGCACAGTTATTTATATATTTTTTCAAAGATTGATTTATGTGTACAAGAACTGGGATATAGGCCAGAGTTCTGGGGGTGGTCTGGGAGGGGCAGTTAGAGGATTCACCAGAGACAGAGTGGGGAGCAGAACAGGCAGAACTACCTAAATGCACTAATGAGGGGAGTAGTGGTTGAGACATGAGAGATCTGCTGTGCCCTGTGGGCCATCTCCCTGGCTGTCGGGGGTAATATCTTGATTGCACTGTGTCTTTAACCCCTGCACCACCAGGGAGACACATAGTTACTATTTATTGAGCATCTATTAAATGTCCAAGACAGCTTTAGGCCTGTAAAAAAATATATATGTTTGCAAGGCAAATACTGTTTACACAGGTATTATTGTTAACATTTTATAAATGAGGAAAGCAAGTCACACAGAAAGCAGATCATTTGCTCATGTCAAGCAGCTCCTATCTGCAAAGCCTGTGCTGCTGTGAATGTACTGGGCTGCCTTCCAGTAGCAGTAGAGCCCGGAACCAGAGGCTGGTGACTCAGGTCTTCTTAGGCTACCGTCAGCATTAATTTTCACCTTTCAACTGATACTACTGCCATCTCTCCCTTTTGTGAAATGATGAATTCAGCCAAATAGGTCTTGGATTATGGCTTGTCTAATCTCTTTCCAATTGGCTAGTCCAGGATCAATTGACTGGTAAAGCAGGTTTATGCCTTGTATTTTATAAACAGAAGTAGAGCTATGCAAATTGACTATTGACTATGCACTTAAATGGAGTATTTAAAACTAAATATACTAGTTCTACCCCCAAGGCTTCATTTTATACTTAGAGTACAGAACAGCAAAACAGCAATAGAATCAGCTTTTATTTTTTACAAGAATTTAAAAGACAATCACAGGGGCCTCCCAGGTGGTGCAAGGCATTAAGCCACAGCACTATGAAGCTATCCACAGCCACTGCAGCACAAGTTCGATCCCCTACCAGGGAGCTACCCACATGGCACAACAGACCTCTCCTGTCTTGCCCGCTGTTCCCCTCAGCAGTGTATTTCAGTAGATTTGCCTGTTCCCCCCAATCTCTCTGGTGAATCTCACCCCCTGCATCTCTGGCCTGTACCCCAGCTTTTGTATGCTTAAATGAATAAATCTTTAAAAAAAAATAGTAAGACAATCACAGTTGTGTTCAATGAGGAAAGGGAAGGAATAAAGCAGTTATTCCTAGGAACTGAGAATAACAGAGCTAAAGGCTCTAGGGAAGGATTCCTCTTTACATTTTCTGAACTTCAGTGATTTTTGGTTATCTTTGGTATTTCTTTGCTTTCAGATAAACCACTATAATTTATTTCCTATCTTTTCATAGTTATCTTTTTTCTTGTCTTGGACAATAACTTCCTATGTGACGCTACAGTGTCTGCATTTAGGATCCACACTAAGGTATTTGCCTATCCTATATTTATTTTAACTACATCCACAATACCCTAGTTCCAAATGGAGTTACATTCACAGATCGTGGGGCTTAAAACATGAAAATATCTTTTTAGGGACTACAATGCACCTCATTAAATTCATTTTTTAATTAACTTGTTAGCACTATTACAGAGTAACCATTTTTAACATTTGGAAAACACAGAAGCAAAATGAAAGCATTGTTTTTTAATCTTCCCAAATACAAACATGTTCTTAATGTTTTTTTCCTATGGATATATATAAAGGGACATACATATGTAGTTAAAAAAATTAGTCCTTTGTGCTAGACCTGTTGCTATGATCTGGAGATACAGAGACAAAATAAGACAAGCATGAATGCCCTCATTCTTAGAAAATGAACAAGAGAGAGAGAGAGCAAGAGAGAGAGAATTTTGATTACACACAAATGAATCAACCTGGTGGGTAAAAGCTATAAAAGGGATGCCCAGTACAATTGGAGCCCCAGATGGGAGCCCAGAAATAAATTGATTCTAATCTGAAGTATATCTATAGATGATTATGTGAGTCAGGAAGATAATTCCTTCTAGGTAGGAGAAGAGCATGTACCAAGACCCTGGGGCAGAGGATAGTAAAGGAAAGAAGACTGATTCAGAGGAGGCCATTGAAACTGGAGTGTACTAAGTGGGAAGGAGGCACAAGCTGTAGTCAAGAGTTACATGACTTGTGGGTCACATTAAGAACAAGTGCTGCCTCATGCCAAGAAATGTAGCAAGTCGTTGAAGGCTTCTATTCAAAGTTTGCTTTATAAAATATAGTTTTTTCTTTGACAGAACAAATACCACTTACCCCTTTTTCTTCTGTTCTTCCTCTGTGGGTTTGCTCATGTTTTATGAACTAAGGAAAGTTTGGGGAGACAGAGATTTCATTATTTCCCTGTTTGGGGAATAAAGGATAGTCAAAACCCCACTCAATTTATGCTGTGCTAGCCATACTCCCCTCCTTTTAACCTATGTCAAGAACCTGGTGAGTTCTTCTTCTCTCTTTTTTTTTTTTTTTTTTAATTTATTTATACAAGGACTGGGTACAGTCAGAAGCGCGGGAGGGTGAGAGAATTCACCAGAGCCAGAAATGGGAACAGAGCAGGCAGACCCATGAAATACACTGCTGAGGGGAGCAGCTGGCGCAGCAGGAGAGGTCTGTCGCGCTATGTGGGATCCTCGCTGGTGGCTGGGGATGGAACCGGCGCTGCAGAGGCTGCAGGCAGCTTCGCAGCCCAGCACTCAACCACTGCGCCTCAGGGGAGGCCCAAGTTCTTGACCAAATGATTGGGAGCTATCAAACTATTCATTTGCTTTCAGTTTGGTTTAGGGGTTGGTTAGCATGTGTATTAAGCCAAGTGGAAAAGAAAACCCTGGCTCTTCCCAGAAACATGAGGACATAGATTCAATTTTGTTTTGTCTTTACATTCCCCATATGCAGCTGGTGATGGCTGGTTTGTGTGCTCAGCACGCAGCCCAAAATTGAACACTGAATGCCAAGTGTTTGAAGCAAGGAAAGTTTATTTCAGGTATACAAGCAAGGAGGCAGGAGAACAAAGACACAAAAATCTGCCTTCCTTATTAAGAAATAAAATGAGGTTAATATAGATTTTTAAAATCATGATTGAAAAGAATTAAATTTTACTGGTTGATAAGAGGATGGAGGGTTAGTAAATGTGAACTGGCAAGTTACAGGGAAGTACATATATGAAAAATATGAAGAGATTTTTCTTGAGATATCTTGAGTAAGGAATTTCTGTTGGTGGGCACATACCTCTGGGTGGGGCACACCCACTCCTACATTCTAAGACTCCTGGTGCCACCTGGTCTTGGAACCCAATTCACGGGTAGTTGGTTCTGCTTTGCTCTGACTGGGGAATTTGCAGAGGATGCTATAGGAGGGAGAGGGGGACAGGGGAGAACAGGATGTGGAGCCTGCCTTGATGGTGGCTTTGGTGTGGTAAATACATCTAAGTAGGTGTTGTAAACCAATGTCACCGCATTATAAAATAATATAAGATAAAATAAAATATTCAACCTCACTAGTAATACAGGAAACTCAAATCTGAGATGTTTAACCTTAAAAAAAGAAAAAAGAACATTGGATTTTTTTTTTTTTTTTTGTGCTCTTATGGTCTGAAAGCAATTTAACCATTTAGGCTGTTTCACACATGATAGTGTTCGGGTGTTTGGCCATGTAATATAACTACTGCATTATATAGGTGGATAACTTTCCGCTCTCAGTCTTTCTGCTCTCAGAAAGACTTTTTATAATTATTAATTCCTATACCTTTTTACATATTTGTGACTTCCCAGGAAACACTTAAGGCACTCTTACAGTTTCTCATGCTTTCTAGTTACAAATTCAAGAGTTAATGAGGAAAACTAGAGATAACCTTATTAAATTTAAATGAAGTCTTTCAGAAAATATTATTGGTAATATCTCTTTCCCTTATTTTAATAAGTTGTCTTTATTGTTCATTTTCCTTTGCTACTCTCTGCTCTCTATTTTATTTTCTCGTTTATTAAAATATTAGGTGAGATAAGCAGTAAGGTCAATAAAAGTATATTTCTGTTCTAGAAAACCAATGAAAATTAAGTTACCACTTAATTAAGCCCATAGGCAAGAGGAACAAAAGAAGTGGTTATCTGTCTCCAAGGAATAGTACCTAATGGGGATTGAACAGGATTTCTTTTCCTGCTGGTTCATTCTGCTTTTTTGTATGATGTGTTGAGAATTCACTTGAACCCTTGAAATTCTGATGAGCACACATGTCAAATGGTTCAATAGCAGACAAAGCAATAATTCCACAGAGGTCTTTGGCAGAGGTTGGGGCAAGAGAGTGTAGAAAAGAGAAGTGGGAAGGAAAAGATGTTATCAGTGATTTCTCCTAGGAGGGAGAGTCTTCAGTTGAAGACATTTGTGTGGGAGAACCAAAGATTACTGTAAGCTCTTTCCTCTACCTTGGTTCATCTTGCTAACTCAATGACCTCCAGAAAAAGATGTTATTTTAAAAAATAATTTGCTTTATATTGAAAGTTTAAATCTTAAAATAAAGTTAATTATACATTGTAAATAGAATTTTCTCTGGTGTAAATCCAATCCTTTTTTCTCTGAATGGGTACTTTCATACACTTGCAGTTGGTCCTAGCTTTTTTGTAATAGACATAACCTTAGAATAACTAACTTAGCATATAAATAGTTTTCTTGAAGAGAAAAAAAATCTTTGAAACAATAAAATGTGAATTATACACAGTTTGAAATGTGATTTAATATGTTCAGTAAATGTGCTACCAGCCTGTAAATCGTACAGCTTACCTCACATAATGACTTCCGTGAACCTTACTTGTCAAGGCCATGCAAGTGAAATATAGTAAGTGTTGAATTCTATTTTGCAAAAGTCCATTTTATTAATGTTATCTATGAAATCTTCAGTTGTTTAGAAGTAGCAGTATATTTTCTGAATAAAATAATAAATATTCATAATCATAAATTAACAGAGTATGTATATGCTTATGTGTAGAAGGAAAATCAGAAATACATGTATGAACTTACAACTATGTATACATATATGAATTTACACAGAAAAATAAATTATATATCCACATACATAACATCAGAGTAGTCATTTTTCATATATACTTTTTTCTCTTACATAATCAACTAGTGATGTAGATTTTAAATGGTGAATAAATCATAAGTTTTATGTTTTACTTTGGACAACAAGAGAAAAGAATTTGAATATAAGGTTTGAAGAAGGAGCATATGGAAAACATTGACTGCTATAGGTTTCCTCCACATTGGACTGGATAAAATTATGGTGAATTTACATGTGTGCAGATCAATCAGGGAGGTCCCAATAGGAGTTGAAGTATCTTAAGAATATCAATGAATGTGGTATAATTTATCTAAATACAATCAGTCAGCACTGAGGAATGATGACCATGTTCTAAATGGCAAGGAAATAAAGGGAAAGTAGAGCATCAAAAATTGGGGTTTTCCCAGGAAATTCCCAGCCTTTCATTTGGAGGTGGGGAATATGTTAATCTGATCTGAAAGATACTGTGTCATTGAATAAATGAAGTATCCCACTAAACTTCCATCAAGTTTAACAGAGAGCAGCAAGGAGCGATATGCACTCTACAGTAATAGATTGACGCCAAGCCTATACCAAGAGGGTGTGAAGAGGTTCACCATTCAGATAATGAGACTTTCTGCAGAAACTAAGAAAATAAAATGACTAAAGGAGTAGGGAATAGTTAGGTTTGGGTTTTGGGAGGTGAGATTCAGAAATGAAGCATTCATGAAAGTGGTTTGAATTTCTAGCATCAAAGGGGAGAACACTGGGCTTTCTTATGAGCTTGCACATATGTAGAGCCTGAAACAAGAGACTTAGGAAACTATCTGAAAATGGAGTGAGATTCTTGATTACAAAAAGGGATACTACTGTAGAGTCAACTGAGACCTCATCGGACAAATTCACTACCCCAAAATTCCAGTTGCAGGCAGTTTAGTCCAGAATTCAAGTAGGTTTAAAGCAGTCCTTCAAGATTCTTACCGTGTTAGTTGAAGTAAATCAAATCCTAAAATATTTGCTTTTTGGCAATAGGATATAAAGCACTACCATCCAAGATTGATTCCTATTGCCTTCAGAGTTTTGAGAGAAGGACGTATGTAGAAAGCACAAATAATGCCTTAGCAGAGATCATTTCAACAAAGAAGTGAAGCTCAGTATTTGTTTTTGGTCTAAGATGGAAAAGAGAAAATTGTGCAGAAGCACAATAGAATAGGCACAAAGACAGGGACATTCCAAAGAATAGAAAATGATTTATCAATATGAAATGTTACTGAACTATGTGTGTATCTGTGTGTGTCTGTCATATGTGTGTTAGAAAACAAAAAGACAAATATTGGCCCAGATATCTGAGTGTTAAACCTGCCACTTGTTACTGGCATGCTTGAATTCAAGCAGATAGTCATTATTTCTACAGTTATCATTTTTCTGAAATCAATGAACTCAGAAAAATAGGGCATTCACACTAATTCAATGCCATTTTCTTTTAAGGCGTTGAAGGGGTGTGTGTATGTGTGTGTGTGTGTGTGTGTGTGTGTGTGTGTTTTGGTTTGAAACTAATATTTGCAATCTTGGTGTATTTTATTTCCAATTAAGGTAATCTGATCCTTTTTTTCAATTTTAGAAAGTTTGAATAAGAATGTATTTGTTTATTATAGCTATTCATTTATTGGTGTTCTCTGACCCTCAAATTACTCAAAATTCCCCAAAAATCTAAAGATAAAGCAGCACAGTTTTCTTTACAAATAAATACCTAATCATAAATTACTACTGCTTTAAAGGATTTGAAAAAATTGAATCACAGTGGAACAGAAGTGATTTACCCAAGGTTACCAAGCTACTAAATAACAGAGCAGCCTTGTTACTTTTCAGTCATCTGTTAATTTACTATTATTTTCAGAGTTTTAGAAACTTAAAATATTCTTAAAAAAAAAACAGGCTTTATTGTTATTCAAACCTTGAAAGAAAACGATTTGAAATATAGCAATCACATATTTTGAGACATCTAATTTCCTCAAATCCCATTTTCAAACAGCAGATATTTCATGCAACATATTTTGTTGAACTGGTTAGTATATAAAAGTGACTTCTGTGTCTATGGAAGTCTAATCAAATTAAATTAAAAATGTCGTGAACTTCATGATCACAAAGGGTCCTCTGGAAATTCTGTCTCCTGGAATTATCTGATCACTGAGAGTGTGATATCATATACCTAAAACATTGGTTGTTTGCACACCTGTAGATTGTTTCCAGTGTTAAAATTAGATATATCACCTATATAAAGTTGTATACCATCCCTTTCATTTCCATTATTTATTTAAAAGTCTAATAACTTTTTTGAAGTAAATTATCTAATAAAACATAGTAATATGACTTATCAGTGACACCTTGATAATGACTGAAACTTTGATATAAGTAAGGATAAGCTGTATAATCCACCTAACCTTAACTTATAAAAGTCATTATTGGATAACAAAGTAAAGGATATTCTGAATTAACTGTAGATTGCCCAAAATTCAGGTAAAATATTGACTATATGAAACAATTAACTTATAAATTAAAACTAATAGCAAGAAGATGACAAAACCTCTATAAATAACATTCAGAGAATAGTAGAAGAAAGTGTCTTCAGAATCTAATTATCTTAAGGAGTTATTGACAACTTGTAAAAAAAAATATGCTGAAAGTTCCTGCTTAGGGACTATTCTGTCCCACATATAATTTTTTTTCTATTTTCTAGCTTATGACTTAGACTATTAAAAACAGAAAATGAGCTTCCTTTTTTTCACTGTAATAGATTTATTTAAAATTTTGTGTGTATTCCTTTTGAGACTAATTGACTTCTAGGGCGCAGTAAAATGTTTTCCATCAAATGAGACAGATGTCCATTCAATTCATCAACCAGCAATTACAAGCAGATCAATATTGTTATGCAGTATGAAAGACAAAGAGAAAATATAATACCACTGTCACTACCTACACTGACTTCAGCTTGACTAAAGTGTCAAATGAAATTATCAGTATCCATGAGACTCCCAGTCTGGATATCAGAAATTTAGGATTAGGGGCCTTCCTTGGTGGCCTAGGGGTTAAGTCTCAGCACTGTCACTGCTTCAGCCTGAGTTTGATTCCCCACCACTGATCTCCTCGCATATAGCACAGCAGACCTCTTCTGTCTCACCTGCTGCTCCTCTCAGCATTGTAGCACATCACATCTGTCTGTTCTGCTCCCTACTCTGTCACTAGTAAATCCTCTTACCCTCCACACCCCTGTCCTGCACCTCAGTTCTTCTACATGAAAATAAAAATAAAATAAATTTAGAATTAGAATATAATGTTGATACTATTTCATAAATAATGTTCTTTAAATACAGTTAATCCTGGGTTTCCTCATCTAAATTGGTAGTAATAACAACAACAACATCTACTCAGGAAGTGCTGAGGGAGGAGGTAATGTAAGCAAAACTTTAGTATATAACTTGTAATACCTTGTTGAAGTAAATAGTAACTCTTACTGTTACTATTACCAGAAATGGAATAGGTGGACAATTAGTTTAATTGTGATGAGTATAGTAGTTTGAAGTGTCACATAATGTGCCCAACAAAAGCATTGCATGAAAAGGGAGATAATGAAAGACATTTTTCCTTTATGGAGATTATAAGCAACAATAAAGGTCTCAAATGAGATCTTTGAGTATAGTATGAACAGTCTAATTGGAATGGAGTGAAAACTCCATATTGGGATATCAAAAAATAATTGTAGTGGATGAGATTGATAGAAGACATTGGAAGTCAATTGAAAAAGAATTAAGTAGTATTTACCAAGTTACTTCTCATCTCTGCAGTAATTTTGGGATGGGAAGTGAAGGCTGTAGAAACAGAGAAAAGAACATTTTTAGGGACCTTGATGAGAAAGAAATTCTTATAAAATTGCTATTAAAATTGCAAAGAATGTCAAAGACAATCTTTTGTCCCGATGGGAAAAAAATAAATATGTACATTGAAGAAAGTGTCAGAATCATAAAGAGATCCCCAAAGCAGTTATAATTTGCGTTATGGTAAGAACAATTGTGCAGTAGAGTACATGATGAAAGAAAGGTGAGAAGAGGGTAGAGTCATGAAGAAATTGAAGCCACAATGAAAAAGTGACATGTAATACAAAATGAAGACCAGTGACAGGTGTAAGTTTTTGTCAAGCATGTTTTTGGATTCACTAACTTCATTACTAATAGGACTGGTCTCTTTACATATGGTCTATTTATATATGGAAGAGCTGTGAAATTGGTCATTTTGTTATTAGTATTGTTAATTTTTCAGGACAGAATGTGAAAGTGTGGGGTCTGGATGGACTTAATAACTCAGATCCCTCAGGTTCGCTCTGGAGTCTCTTTGCTTGAAGTGTTTTTGAACTGTGCTGTTTTCCCAGTCAATCATTTCTCTTTACTTGCAGTGAGTGATGGATTCTTCTCTGTTTAAAGTGAAAAATAATCCTTTAAACATTTTTGTTTCCTTTCCTTACTATTTCTTCATTCTGCTTGGCTTACTTTAATAGACATATTCCATCCATATGGAATCCATTTTTCCCTTACTCTCTGAAAAATGAGAAAAGTAACCTATACTAAGGAATAGGTCATGAAGATCAATTGAGGAAAATGAAAGGTTCCTCTACTGTATTATTTAAGCTTGACTCATCTAAAGTTGGTTACATTTATCATGAACGACTAAGAAATTACTGGAGAAAGTTATTTTTATACTTATATAAGACTTAAACATCTGACAGCACTCTCACTCCATTCTTTTAATTTTCTGCTAAAGATAAAGATCATTCTTTTTCTTTTTGTGGAGATCTATAATTATAGATAGATTGAAAATTATGAAGAAAGTCTGTTCATCCTTATAAGAAGTAATGTTCCACATATTTTTTCCTTTGTCTTAATGGCTATCATATTTTGATGTGACTTGTAATGTCAGTGGTCAGCAACCACCTTACACATACATGATCATTCATTGCTAACAAGTTTGTTACATAGTATGTGCAACCAACACTCAGACATCGAATGGCTCATAGTTCTGAGCCTAACTTGAGATTCTGGCCTAAGTAGAGGAATATAAAGGATTATGCATTCTCAATTTTCTTTAAATAAAACAACAACCATGACAACAACAGCTTTTTGGCTGTGTCAACCAAAATCTAATGGTGAGGATGGGTATCTACTTTAAGTATTTCCCACAAAGGCTATAATGAAGGTTTTACTGAGTCCATTATAGCTGAAATGTCAAGCAGGCCAAGTGAGGAATCCACAGGTTACCAACAATAGGGCACATTAATGCCAGCAACCAGCTGACACGGAAGCCAGAGAAAGGCTTCCAAGGGGTGAGGAACATGGAACAGTTTGGCAAAAATGGGGAGTACACCTTAAGGGAAACTGAGCAAAGGTGAGTGGAGAGACATTGTTTATGAATTGTCAAAGGAAGAACTTTTGAACTGAAATACATGCAATTAATATGAAAACCAGAATTTCTCACAAGTCAGTGGTAATTTTCCATGTTCAAATGAACACAAACACACACATACATATATACATGTGCACCTTACTATAAACCATTTTCATTTTTATGGTATTTTTATTTTGTCATAAATTAATTAGTGCTCTTATGAAGTTAGCATATCATTTATAGCCATTCTTCAAGAAGTCAATGTTATAAAAACACTAATAAACTAGACAATCTGAATCATTTCCCAGTCAATAACTAGATATTGCTGTGATTTTAACAATTTAATTGCTACAATTAAAACATTTTCTTGTGCTGTACAATCTTTGGCATATATTCACAAAATAAAATTAGGCATGGAAAACAATGCATATTGAAATGTCCTATCAGAAATCTTTTCCTTAGTTAAGAAGTTGCTTTGGGTACATATACACCATGGAATATTACTCAGCATTCAAAAAAGATAAACACATGCAATTTGCAGCAACATGGATGGCGCTGGAAGGGATCATGCTCAGCAAAATAAGCCAAAAAGAAAAATACTGGATGGTCTCACTCATAGCAGGAATTTAGAAAACTTAAATAAGGGACCAGGAAAATGAATAACTATAAGAAAGTGAAAATCAAAATCAACAAAAAACTATGAACCAGAGACACTTTTTGGGGGGTGGGGGCCGGGAGGGGAGGGATTGGGGTCAGAATGGGGCATTTGCAATTGTATGGGGGAATATAAAAATAAAATTTATTATTCAAAAAAAAAAAGAAGTTGCTTTGGAAAAGAACTGATTTGGCTTGAAATTTATTGGGCATAATACAAACGCATTTTCATTATCATTTCCTTGTGATTTGAATCAGTTACATTTTGGGGGGGGGGCTAGCTGTATTTCAGGTGGAAAGGGGCTATGTGTTAGAGCACCAGTGAGTCTTCCTCTTCACCACTCCATGTAATTAGGTTTACTGAGCCAGCAAGAGAGAGGGAAGATAAATCAATGATATCTCCCACCTTCTCCTCATCCTCCACCTCTTACTCATCTTCTTAAATATACAAGGCCCTTTGTTTTAAATTAAGATCACAGTATATAAACTTTATTCTATAGACAATAAGTCAAAAGAGCAATTGCATTTTCACAGTTCTAATGGTTAAAATTAAAAATCAAAAGAAGCGATTATGATAGCGTAGGAAATAGGAGACAACATAGGTGATGAAAGATGGAGCAGATTCTAGATTCTGAGAAACTGATTCAGAAGTCTCATAGTGGTGTAATTCTTTTGGGTTGTAGATTTCAGTACTTATCTACTACCCTTTATATTTTTGATTAGATTGTTCAACTTTTTCATAGAAATCTCATCATAATTTGTAATAAAGATTTTTGGAATGCAACAGATAAGACACATGCTTGATGTTCCCAGTTTGCTTGCCTCCTAATCTCTATTTGTAAAGGCAAAGGGAACTGTCTTTTTAGACAAGTGTAAAATGTAGGTGAGTGTATTATTCTACACTTGGGGAAAATCATAAATTTATAATTGTATCATTTTAAGTAAAGTATAACAGTGAGATGAGTATAGGGATACATTCAAAGGACATATCATAAGTTAGCTTGGAAAAAGAGAAATATAGTGAAAATCAAGCTGACAATTTTTAACAACTATTTATGACTTATATTCTCTATCACTCCATCTGGTAATATGGAGAAAATACATTTCTCCTGGAAAATCTGATATCATCAGTACACTGAAATATTTCTCTTAAACTGCTAAAGGAAAATGATATGTCATAGAGCACTGCCTTACTTATGATCTACTCCATTCACTACTCAGAAATTCAAATGGGGCAATTGGATTGATGATATATTTGTTTACATATCATTGACACCTTTGTAGAAAATAAATATAGCAAGTGAGTGAAAATTATACAGTGAATGTTTATAGGAATTGCTTTAAAGTTTAGTTTAGAACATGTGGGAAGAGTTGTATTTGTGAAATAATTATAGTGATGAGTTACAGCGATAATTTATTTTTTCATATTAAAATAAATTAATATTGACACAGCATTCTTACAATTACATGATTCAGTTACTTTACATTTTTGCAAAACTCAGATTAGAAAATAGTATTACCCCATTTCAGTGTTTTATTAATTGCCTTAGGATACAGCACTATTAAATGGCAGACTCAGAATAGCAGTCTGTGGTTTCAAATTCTATTTTCATAGAGTAAATCTCCATGACTGAGGTCATCCTTGACTCTTGATAAATTTATATAAACCTATATAAAATTAGATTTTGTGAATTTTTCTTGAGTCACAATTATGTTATATGGTTGTCTTAATCCAGAAATCAAAATACCAGATCTGAAAGTATGTACTTCCAAATGAGATGAGAAAGAACTTTTGAAATTGAATGGCTTAAAATTTGAGACACAAAACATAAAGATATGTTTAACATTAGAAATGAGATTCTGGGCCTCCGTAGTGGCACAGGTAGTTGAGCGCAGTGCCGTGAAGCTGTCCGCAGCCTCAGCAGCCCGGGTTCGATCCAGGCCCAACAGGGTGCAAACCCACATGGTACGGCAGACCTCTCCTGTCTCTCCCGCTGCTCCCCTCAGCAGTGTATTTCAGTCAATATGCCTGTTCTGTTCCTCACTTTGTCTCTGTTGAATCCTCTTACCCTCCTGCACATCTGGCCTGTACCCAGTACCCCAGTTCTTTTATGCATGAATAAATATACCTTTAAGAAAAAGGAAATGAGAGGCTGCTATATTCTAAATGGAATTAATTATACTTTTGTAAAATTTTGTGCAATTAAAATCACTTTGTTTTTCAAACTTGATGCTTTTACTGGTTTTTGTTTAGTCCTTTTTTAAAGATTTAATTTATTTGTGCATACAAGAACTGAGGTGTAGGACAGAGGTGTGGGTGAGGAGGGTGAGAGGAGTCACCAGAGACAGAGTGGGGAACAGAACAGGCAGACTGACTGAAATACACTGCTGAGGGGAGCAGCGGGTGAGACAGGAGACACCTGCTGCGCCACATGGGTCAGCTCCATGGCCGGGGTTCAAACTCAGGCTACAGTGGTGATAGTGCCGAGCCTAACCCCAAAGCCACCAGGGAGGTCCCAGTTCAGTCACTTTTACAGTTTGGAAGGACTGCATACAGTGGTGTAAATATAAAATGTGTGTGTATGCATGTATATATGTGTATGTATGTGTATGTGTACCTGTACACACACATATAATTTCTATATATAGTTTCTGTGCTAGAACCAAGAGCACACTAGAAATATTTTACCTGACAGATGTGTTAAATGGAAGTCCCACACTTCACACATTTCTGAGGATCAAAGTGAAGAACTCCAGGTGCATTAGGGAATCCTTTTTA